CGGTTTTATCACTAAGAAAACAAACATAATGTCTAAAAATAAACAAAACTCTCAACGAAGTGCAAAACAAAGACATCAAGCGCAGGGATCGGTAACAGTCATTTAGCCTCCAAGTCTAGTAGCCCTTAACCATTTAAACCCCAACCAGAAGTCGATAAGCCCGCAACCAGAAATAAAAAAACTGTATCTTTCTCGTTCTTAAAGCACAAGTAAGGGGCTAATGGACTTGTGGTTGGGAGCTAATCGGCTAGGGGTTAATCAAATGACCGGTAACGAAAGGATCAGGTTTGTTTTATTCCTCTAAGGCAAAAAGGTGAGTAAGGATTTTAATAAATCAAATTTGGTCTTAAGTCTTGATTATCAGTGGCTTGTTCCTGTAATGAAAGGATGGCTAAATAAGACAATAATGAAGACTAATATAAAGTCAGATGAATGAAGTCTTTAATAGTACTTGTCTCAAATGACAATTCTTAGTGCAAGAGAAGAGCATGAACCCTTTGATAACTGATTGAGTGGTGGCATAAAAAATTAGTCGCAGGGAAAGGGCTACAGAAAGAGCAATAAAATGAGGTGGTAAAGTCAAACGTCCTTCACACTCTCCATCTCAACGACTTGATTGGACCTATTATTTACGTAAGCTGTTAAGTCAAAACAAAAAGTCTAAGGATGACTATGAAGAAACAAAAACAATCGACACCATTACTGTGTTGTAAACAAAGAGATGGTGATGAATTCTCAATTCTGCCGAGGGACCTATCCAGTATTCACTTTCATAAATAGTGCCAGAAACTGAAACTGAAACAGGCCTCTTGTAGTAAGATCTAGTAACGTAACAGAAAAGCGCCCTTCCCACTGCACTCCCTATAAAACCTGCTTTAACCCTGTCAGTTAAGTGCAAAAAAAGGGGTCACGAAGTTGTTAAGCTGTTCCAAAAAAGCAACCCTTACCATCAGGGAGTCCGGAAATATAGAAATACTTCAGTTTATCACGTTGACAGGGCACCGCTACAAAAAATGCTCGAATGAAATATTCATCCCTGCAATCTGACTCACACTGTGGAGGTCCCCCTCGCAGGTTTACGTTGGAATATTTATCCCCGATGCCTCGATCAAAATGTCCAAGATTTAAATGTTGGGCAACTAGGACTTTTTCTTAGATGTTTGACCGTGAAATATGCGCGACGTTTACAAAACTTTACAAACGCATCCCGCTCACGAAAGTCCGCCATGTTTGTTTTCACAAACCAGTACTTAGACTCGCTCGGCCAAATTTCTTAACCGGGGCGAATTAACCGGGGCGATCATAGAAACTCGGTTCCAGGCCTCACTGCTTGCTCCCCCCGCTGCACATCACGGATGCTTCGGAGAGCGAATTTCCCTGTGATAGTCCAGGATATAAAGGGAAAGTGGACACGATAACCGACCAACTGTAATAGTCTTGACTTGGTGGTTTAGAGAACGAACGCGGCAATTTGTCGAACCTTACAATCTTTTCTGGCTTGAAAATGGCAGAACAGGCAAATATTGAAGCCGTCCTGGCCGAAAATCAACGTCTTCGTCAGTCGCTAGTGGTAATGGTGACTGATAGAAAGAAGATGGCGTCGAAACTAACGGCAGTTCAAAACCTGGGACTGCAGTTACAAAAGAAGGAGCAGCAAATCAAGACTCTTCTAGAAAAAAATGAACGGCTTGCAGGCTCTCTAGCAAGAGCAGAGAACAGAATAACACAGTTACCGTCGGGCGCTCAAATAGGCGCCCTTGTTACTCCTGGTGTGTCGAAGAAAGTTTTGGAAGCTTTAACTCGCGATAACACGAAACTAAAACAAGCGTTGGAGCATTTAACAAATAAAGGGCCAGCTGGAGTTGACTTGGCTGTGGTAAGTGGGGTAATTTTGTTATTTTGCATCATATTTTTTGTCAAGTCAGTCGAAGACAAAAACATAAGGGTGATTTTTCTAATTATCGGTTAAAAGATTCTCCGCATTCTATTTTTAGACTGACAATTTGTTACAAAGTGCATCAGGGACGTTCCAAAAATTTTCCGCATCTGGGGATGGAAGGATAGATAGCCGTCAGATTCCGACAGGTCTCGGATCCAACGAAAAACTGATTGCGACAGGTCTCGATTTCAATTTCAATGATTCTGATACGACTGATTTCTTTAAATTAGATTCCGACAAGGGCACTTTTTTCAATTTACAGATTCCTACAGCGATAATTTTCAGAAATTACAGATTCTGATAGCCTTGTTTCTGAAAACCAAAAAACGTTTCCTACCCCTGCTCCTACGACGAAACAGGGTCTCCTCAGACCTTACCAAAATATACCCTCCATGGGGGAGGGGGGGAGCAGGGGGGGGGGGGTGGATAAAAAATGGAACGTGTTTCAAGGAAATGCTTTGTTTCCTAAAATTAAGGCTATGGTAATTTTGAAGTTTTGTAACTGATAGAAATTTGAATATGTTCTTGTTCAGTGTAGCAGAAGTACAGTAGGGGTTCTCCGTTCGATCATGTCGTCTCGTGATTATAGGCTTGCATAAATTCAGAATTTCGAGGACCCTGCATGACAGAGATTCCCCTCTTTTTTTGCATGAAAATCTCTGCTGTCCTCAATTGTTTGACCTGCCACCATCCGCATCCAGAGACGAATAAAAAAAAAAGCAGTTTCTTGACTGGTTTTCACCGGCTTAAACTTACGCATATTGAACTGACAGGATTCAAAGTGCTGTCTGTTTGTGAGACTGCTGACAATATCTGCTGTGCTGTGATTGGTTTCAAAATTACAATTGGCACCTCTCCACTGACATGGGTTCGTCTTCAAAATGTTTGTTTGATAAACAACTAGCAATCTTTCATCTTTTGCTGTTAACACAGTTCCAAACACAATTGCTGTACGTTAATTCATCTTAGCAAGCTATTCATTGTCAAAGGAGCAATGATTGGGTTTAGGGTTGATAGGCAGGTTATTAAGTTAAAGTTTTAATTATTCTAAAACAGTTTGTTTCTGTTAGCGAAGCATGTGCTGGGCAGCGTAGTCTTAAAGCCAATTTTATTTTAATTTGTCTGTTTTTTTTATACCTCAGTACTTTGTAGAACTTTACGAAGTGCATTTCTCAGTTTCTCTAAGAAATAATTGGTGGAAGAGTCGGAATTCAAGTAATTTGCTGAAAATTAACTAAAAATTTAATTGCTTGCTAAGTTTTTGCCTGACAAAGCATGACACCAACCTTATACCTGCCAACTTTTTCTGAGTTAAAGGCATGAGATTTTTATCCTGGGAGTGCTGGGTTTTTCAAAGACGACACAAACATCCGAAGATTCCCTAAGACGTCTGAAAACTTCCCAAGACGTCCGAAGTCTACCAAAAATAGCGGAAGTGGAAACAGCCCTGACATTTCCCTGTCCCAGTCTCAGGACGTGTATCGCTAAACGTGACCTTGCTCCCAGTGCCTTCTATTTTAAGAAGGAAGTATCATCATTTACACATACCGGTAGTTGTCATTTCTTACATCGGTTTAAGTTTACATATTTTTGGAAATTGTGTCGAGCAAAGCTGCAACCACTTGCATTTTTCAATCAGGCATGAGAATTTAGCCTGTAAGCGTGAGCTGGCATGAGATTGAAGTTTTCAATCTGTAGGCATGAGACTCATGCCTAAGGGGTGAGAGTTGGCAGGTGTACAACATCATCCTCAGGTTCCTCTCTTTACCTCAAGGTATTATCCTTCATGCTATTGCACTTTGTTTCTCTGGTTCTCTAAAGTTGTCCATAGTTTCTTCATTTAATTATTTTGTTCACCATTTTTATGTTCTGAATTTTTGATGTCTTCAAAGAAACCAACAATCATGCCCTTTTGCATCTACAACAGGAGGGAAGCTAAAAAATAGTGCCAGAACTAGAAGTAATCAAAGATTATGAGAGTGCATTCGACACCGTCACTTAATTAAATATATATAAATGATTTCACTGGCTGACTTTGAACCTCTGTCTATTGCTAAAATCAACGTTTTTCATCGACAACCAAGGATTTTATACAGACAGATTTATCATAGTGTCAAAGTCCACCATTTGTTGACACGTTGCGTGACAGCGCAAGTTTCCGTAGACTCCCAAGTTTAATAGAACGAAAGTATTTACATTTATAGCCTTCAAATTTCGTGCTAAATATTCTCACATTAACTGGTAATGTTTGAACGTAAAAGCTAATTTGTAAAAGTAAATTTTACGTGCATTATTCTAAACTGGAAGCAAAAATGTAAGCAAACATTTGCAATCATGTGCACGGTTATCATCAGCGTAAACAAACTCCGTGCGACTAATTCACGTATCATGTTCTCAAGGCGCTTCAAAGTCATGTTCGTTTTAAAACAAATAAATTAAACAAGGACAATTCCATCAGATTTCGATAAATGCCACCGTCAAGGCGTTTAAATTCACCTAAATCCAACGCTGAGAGCACAATTGAATACTTACAGCTTCCAAATTACAGTGTAAATGTCCACAAAAACCTGCACTTGAACGAAACAAAGACCCGCACTCGAAAGAAATGTACAGCACATGGTTTGGCGATGATGTCATTCGTTTTGCCCCTGCTGCGGGGTGGCCAAATCGGTGTTGCAACTTCGGACAAAGGTCCACCGTCCCATGAAACTCGACTCAAGTCTGCATTAGGACTGCATTCTACGAATGCAACAAGCCGTTTTATGTTTCATTTAAGGTTGTCAAATTTGCAGAAAGCGATCATGGTAATATGACCTAATTTTGGCTGGCTGGCTCACTTGGATTTTCTGCTGGACTTTCATGGAGTTCTGGCTTGTTGCAGTTCGTTTTCTCGCAGTTTGATCCACGGTCCATTTGGCAATATTCTTGCAAGGGGTTTTATTAGAAGCCGGTACCCGGTTACAGGCACCCATGTACTCTGAGTACAATACCTGGCCTGCCTACACTCAAGTAGACAAATACAAAACAAGCCAGACTGACCGAAACATGTTTCCACCGCCCACTCACTTTACTAACTCAGTCTAACCAGGAACTGCATCTCCAAATTACAGTAGTTTTGTCAGAAAAGTAATATTTTTTTGTGTCTGATGAATTACAGAAGAGTTTTTCAAGCAAAGTAAGCTTTCGATAGCATCGCATTTCTTTGAAACACTTCGTCAACGTTAGGAAAGAAGTTACCAGGACCCTCTCTTATAAGCTGTTACATAACATTTACGCGTGACTATTCATGTCACTGAAAACCACATGTTTTCGACATGGCTGTGAATAACATGAATAAAAGACTTCAGGTTCAAGACAGCCTTGGTAATTTCTTGGTCATTTTTTCAAACGAGTCAAAAGGGAAGTCATTAAGATTTTACAATCCACCTTTTTAACATAATAAACTTGCACTGGTGGATATAAATAAAGTGCCTGTTTTGCATGTCAAAAGAGTCATTGAACCTCCATGACCTTTGAATACACATAAGCTTACCAATACAACAAAGTCTGGTCATTTCACTTTTCAATTTAGTAAATTCTCTAAGGCTGTGAACAGTTACAATATTATTTCTCATGAAGTCCACTTTGTGTGCTAGTGGGTAATGGCTCTGTAAATTATTCACTGTTTTTGTTAACAAAATGAGGACAGAATAATAAATTTCCATCCCAGAATGCTGGAGAATGCATTTAAGTACATAATATGTTTTGTGACGTAATTGTACTGCGCATGATCATCAATTGGAGAGTGATTAACATATTGACACCCAGAGATTTTTGAAAAAAAAAGCCAAAAAAAAATTTGTTTTTGAACATTTTTGTGTCTCCTGCATTATATATGCTGCAGACACTATGATAGGCTGTAAAATGCATGACCACTACTTCATATATGACAAGATCTTGGATTTACTCTTGACGTTTCCCTGCGGATTCCATTACATGCGTGTTACATTTATTCTCTGCCTGTAACACCTCCGGGTAGAAAATTCGTTCCTCAGGGGAATAATCCAACCAATCGAATGCGAGAAAAGAACAAAGAAAATAGCTCATGGTAAGTAACAGATTTTGGAGGAGATTCAGAACCAATCAAATACGAGAAAACAAGAATGTGAAATCCGATAACAACCACTTGCTTTTGGAGGATTTGAAGTCAGTCAATTTCGAAAAAGGAAAGCTGAAATCTGTGTGTTTATTCTTTGCTTAATTCTTGCTAGGTGAGTGATCTTTTCGTTTTTGTCAACAACCATGTGTTTTCGAAGAAGGAAAACTGCAAAGATCGTTGTCTGGGTCATCTCATTCTAGTAGATGTGTATTAAACTGGTGTCAGGGTATTTATTACTTGCTAGGTGAGTGATCGTTCTTTGTGATGGATTTCTTAAAAGGTATTTAGTCAATAAGCCGCAGCATTTGCACTATGTGTCAGTCCGGCTAAGTGAAAGGTTTCTGATTAAAGAACAAGAAATAAACATGTTTTGTGTGATTTTATGTCTATAAATGTTATCTTCTTTGCTCAGTAAGAGAAAGATAGATTTTAAGCACTTGATCGCTTGTTGAGTTGATGTGGGTGCGATCTTGGTGAGTGCTAATTTGCTTGGGAGTGAAACCTCCAGCTACCATCTAAGCATTGTTTTTAACAGATCATTTCATACAGTTGTGAAGTTTGTCGTGGGAGCTTCCATTGTTGGCATACTGCCATTCAGATAATTCTATAAACATTCTTTGGGGAAAAATTCCAAGTTAGTTAAACAAGTAAAACAACATAGAGAGCAAGAGCCATCTAGAATACCGGTGAGAAAGGTCCTGAATTCTATTTAACAGAAAATGCTTGATGCAAGGTTGGGTTATTCTTAAGAAATATACCCCTAAATCTTCAAGATTAATTGTGTGGCTTGGCAAATGAGTATAAATTATGGTATATAACTAAAGGTCTTTACACAAATGCAACTGTTTTTTTACTAACTTTGTCGATTTTTAAAGTAGCTGTTGTTCAGGTAAAATTAAAAAATCACATTGTCTCACCAAAAGATATTGGGTATCAAGAATGAATCTTTTGAGATCAGGTGATGTTAAATTAAATCCAGGCCCCTTACAAGATGTGGACAATCAGAGCAGATTGCCAGTAAATTCCTTGACATTTCTTAACTTTCGATTGGGACAGTTAGGTGATAGCTCTAGATGTAGGTGGTGCAGGTGACTGCTTTTTTAGAGCCATATCACATCAATCGTTTGATAATCCCAATCATCACTTTTACATCAGACAAGCTGCTGTTTAATACCTCAGAGATAACCCAGAACATTTCATTGAAAGTGATACTCAGAATTCATGGAATGGTTACTTCATAAGTATGTCAATGCAAGGTACATCAGTGGTGTGATGCACTAATTATACAAGCAGTTGCAGAATCACTAAATATACACATTTATATTGTAGAATCTCACGAAATATTGGACTGGTGACTTTGATAGAGCCACATCATACATCATCACAGCAAACAGGAGCAGTTTATAAATTGTATAGGTCATGTAAATGAAGTACGTTTTGTATCAACAGTACCAAATAGCTCTTACTCAGGAAATGAGCACCATCAAACAGCTATTGTGATTTCAGTTTCACAGAGCAAAATGTTCTTTTCTGAACAAGAACATACAATTAGAAGAAAAAGAAAACACATCTGAAGAATATTGTAATAAGCATCACAAGCAGTGAAAATGATAAATGCAAATCCAAGACTTGTGAGTAGTAATAAATGGAATTCTTATGTGGACTATTACAGAAACACCAGAAAGACTAGTAAAAAGAATGTAAACTATAAATATGACAATGATAAGCAAAGTTTAACCACTAAAGAGAATGAAAACACTGAATGTCAAAAAGCAAGAACAGGGCTCAAAATTAAAGACAAAAATGTTAAGTCGCCATTTTGCGACCAGCTATGAAAAGTCAGTGACAAGTTCAAAACTTTTAGCCACACATAAACATAAATTGATTATTTAAAATCACATACTGAAAGTCACATTAATATTGAATATCACATCAGTATTAAAAATGATTAACAAGGCTCTGCTTTTATTATTACAACAGCTTTTATGGCATTTCAAATGGATCATGAATGTATAAGCTTACAGCATGCACATAACCTTGAATGAACATGAAAGATTGTTCACTGATTTACTGATTTACAAACATTCAATCCCATACAAAACTAAATGAAATTTGCAATCAAATTTATAGATATCCAACTTTAAGATCAGATACAATCTTGGGACATCTGCAATCTTAAATTGATGAAAATGAACTCATAACTCCTGGAAAATTGGCTGCATGGAGACCTGTTGATACATACATTTCCGAATTCTTGACCTTAACCGATACACTATCTTTGCACACATTCTGTTAAGCTCTGTCTATAGCTTCAGATCTGGGGTAGCATAATCAACTAAAACAGTCGAGGTACATCATTAATAAATCCGTAAATCTTTGCAACAACAATCATGCTTGACATGAGCAACCGGCCATGTTTGTTTTGCGAGCTGACTGAACAGCAAAATATGATCCTAAATTATAGAACTGCTGAGTTCTGAATTAAGAAATATTGAGCTTTAAAATCTAATGCAAAATGTTTCTTTACCTTTCCAGGAAAACCAGGATCTAGGTGAAATGTGCATGACTATAAGAGGTATAAGGGATTTGACAAGTGATGAGTTAAGCAAACTCAAAATTGCACCTGATGCTGTACAAGGACAAAATACACATGCTTTGAAAAGCAAAGTATTGCCCCATGTCACAAAGTCACATGTAGATGGGAACCTGAATGCCAAGCAGAATGAGCTGCAATCACTCAAGGATGACAGGATCTTAAGAAAGATCTCAAGAGAGGTGATTTTGAGCTGCAGATTGTTCTAACTTTGATCCAGAATTATAAAACTCCTGAATTCTGAATTGGAAAAGAAGCATCAACAACGACAAAAACATATACATGTAAACAATTCCAACAATGCACTAGTTTGTTTATAAACTTTTTACGACTTGTTTTGTTACAAAGTTTTGAAAGACCTCACAAGGAAACATTCAACCCAGAACAACTACTGGTATATAAAGCTTGCTGTATGAAAAGCTGAGTGGCTGACAAATTACAAATTAAAACCGAGGGCAGATCCAGGCCAGGGGAGACGCCCATATAAAAACTTGAATTAAACCCCTAAAGGAGACCAATCTGGGCATGGCTCAAGCTTCATTAGAACCCTAAAAGATACCACGTAAAATGGATTAGACTCAATTTTATTACCAGATGCTATTCAGAAAGGAGTCTGCACTAGTAAACTGGACGCAAGAAACCAGCAGAAATGGAGTCTAAATAGAGAAGTGAGAGCGTTTTTTGTTGTTTCTTCGAGCACACCCTAAAGATACTTTGACAGCTAAAAAATAGTGGCGTTTTGTCATGAACACAAGGGAGACCAGAATCGTTGATTTATACGTCTAAGCAAGACAACAAGCATCCCTGACCCTTTCATATGGAAATCCACCNTCCCCCCTCTCCCCCAGGATCCAGTGGTTATCAAGGGCAGGTGGCTGGATGTACCATACCTTATGGTTGAAGAATCAATGGGACATGCCCCCAAAGTGTTGCAATTTGAGAACTGCAACCTAATTGAAAACTGTTACACAAGTAGTACTAGCAATGTTATTACAGTGAGGTACCTGTCCAGCAATGTTTGCCTTCATATCTGCAATGATTTTCACAATCTTTTTCATTTTTTCTTTTTGCCTCTCCAAAAGGAGGGTTGCTAGCCACCTAGTCCAACCCCTATCCCAAATCTGCCCCTGTGAAATGACGTATGAACTCTAGTGTATCAGAAAAGAAATTTAACATGTAAACAGCAGAACCTAATAAATTTAGTTTAATTAAGAGGAATAATTATTGATGGAAGCAAAAGATTAGCAAAGGTCACAGCAAAAGTGTCTAAGTGATAAATTATAAATATTCAACTACTTTCAAGTAAAATGTTTTTAAATTAACAAGTCATTTAGGTCATAGGGATTTTTAATAATTATTGGAATGTTCTTTTTTCTTTCCTGATATATCCATATGTGCTTTTTTCGATTTTTTGGGAGGGTTAAACCAGGCTTCTCATTATTATTTTATATTTGTTTTTCAGCTTGAAAAAGAGCAGAAAAGGCTGTTACAGCGAGTAAAGGATACAAGTAATGAACTCCGTGCCATATCAAGAGATCGTGACCAGAAAGAAGGTGCACTTAATGAACTAAAGATGGAACATGAACTCATGCAGAATGCAGTAAGTGTCAAATTACTCATTGCTTTTAACCCGTTGTTAATCCCAGAGCTTTTTGCCAAAAATGCATCTTTTTTGGACATTTTGGAGATTTTCAGCTTCAAAATGAGCCAAATTAGCTCCAATGTACCCAAAAAGGCATTTGCAACATAACAGCGTGTCTTTCTTTCCACTAGCATTGCGTTTTAGGGCATTTTTGCTTGGGCATGCGTAGAAATCAAAATTTTTGGACGAGAAAGTGACCTTCGTCTGGAGGTTTTTCGGTTTTAAAAGTTTTTTTATTTCGCCTTAACTTTTTTTCCTTTTCTTATCTTTTTGCTGTTGCAGCAGTGACTGACCTTCTCCTGGGCTTGCTTCCAGTTTAAAAATTTCTGAGAAAGCATCATCGAGACAGGCAATTTTTACCAAGGAGTTAAGCTCTGTGAAGTCGCAGGAAATTTTGCTGGGAGTTTTTCACTCAGATTTTTGAGCATTTTCATGCATATTTCAGGCTCCATTGAGCAGATCACTCTGATTTGGGTATCATTGGAAAGATCTTTCCCTCCTGCAGAACTTGAGTGTAGATGATGCCAATTTTGGTCAAAGGTGATGATGTCAGAAGTGGAACAAAGGCCAAACCTTGTAATGGCCAGTTACGGGAAGCATGGAAGTCAGTGGGTTAAAGGATCACACAGAAAATAGTTTTGCCTTCCAAATAGCAACCATCTCTGACTGATTTCTTTAGAACTTGTACAGAATGCAGTACAGTGTGAAAATGTCACACAGTGCCACCTTCTCTACATGATATAATTGTGAATCAGCCTTTAATCCAGTTAAACTTTCAAGCCTGTTCATCTCCAGAAAACATTTCTAAGGGTATCTCTACAGAGGCACAGTGGGCATTTTTCATGGAGCACCAGCATGTCCCCCCCCAGAAATGTTTATTTTTAGAAGCTTGAAAATGCCATTTCCCTAATTTTTCAAGGAACAGTTTCATGAATCAAAACATATTGAGTATTTCATGTAATATAAATTTAGTAACTTGTGTTGTTTATAAACCTTTTAGAGATATTATTGAGAATAGATTTAATCCATGATAGGAGAGACTAGAGACTGTCAAACCAGTCGATTTAACTTATCAAAGACGATTTTCGCCAATAAGTATAAATGAATATATTGGGATTTTGGGAGGTATGCAAGTGCACGCATGCGTATATGGTCACTACGCCCCTGGTGTACTCTTGAAGGACACCAAAGATCAATGCCCCATACAGGAAGGCTTTTCATTCTTGAGTTGCTTCAGTGTTTAATTGGTTAATTAATGAATTGATTTATTTTGATTTATCTTCGTGTATTAGCTGCAAGAAGAGAAAGAAAGGCTGTTGCAGGAGCTAAGGGAAACAACTGATAAACTCTGTGCCATGGCAAGAGATCTTGACCAGAAAAAAGGTGCACTTAATGAACTAAAGATGGAACACGAACTCATGCAGAATGCAGTAAGTGTCAAATCACTCGCTACTAATAAAGGATCACACAGAAAGCTTTCTTGCCTCTCCATCCAGTTGTCCAGGATAAGTAGATTTTTCTTCAGGGCAAGTAACATTTCATTCTCCCTTGCCTGATGGGCAAGAGTTCAAGCAAGTCGTCTGCCAACCAAATCATTAAAAGAGCAAACTAAGACTGGCTTAGGGCAAGCATCAATTATTTGAGGGATACTTGTCCTAAGGGCAAGCTGGAATTCAATATTTTTTTCCAGGTCAGAGGGTGAAAGAAGAATTTAAGATGTGTTGCTAATTATCTTATTTGTTCACAGCTTGCAGGATATGAGAATGACTTTAAGACTGAGAGACAAGAGAAAGTAAGGGCTATGTCAGACTGTGATCATGTTTCTCATGAGAGGGATCAACTTGTTCAATGCTGTGAACGCCTAAAGCAGGAGGGTATTGGTTTGTGGCAATTGAGTCAAAACCCTGAGCGAATGTACGCACAAGCTCAGGCCCAACAACAGCAGGTGAGAGTGATTGAATCCTAAATTATGTACACTACATTAAATTTACAACTATTTCATGCAGGCAGGTTATGAGAATGATGCATTTGATTGCCTGGACGTGATGTGCAGCTAGATTCTTTAATTAAAAGTTATACCTTCTACATGTTAATATTGCAATAGTCCCACATCATTGTACAGCAAATTATAACTCAATCTGATGTTATACCTTATACATGTTGATGTTGCAATAGTCCCACATCATTGCACCGCAGATTAACTCAATCTGATCACTGTCTTCATTGTTTACAGGCTAAAGTGGCATGTGGGCATCAAACATATGGCTGCACATGTGCATCCCCTGTTCTGGAACTTTGGCAAAAGGTAAACTGACAAATAAATTAAACATATATGAAGAAAGTGGACATTGCTACCAACCCGAGAGTCAAAAAATGGTTTCCTCATGGAAAGTTGACTGTAGCTCAAATGGCCTTCAAAACTGTTTTTTCTAGAATCCATAGAAAATTTACACAACCTCCTAAGTTTTATGCCAAAATAAAGCAAAGCCAAACAAATACAAAAGAGTGCTGGAGGATTATCGCTACATGTGTGCAATCTTGTCAGTGACATGCTCTGAACCAGTTTGTTTATATCCATTTGCAGCAACAAGCAATGAGATCAAGAGGATTTGGAATGGAAGCAAGTCGACATGGTTTTACTGATTCACCAACCTCTCCACCAAAACAAACACCTCCCCTGTTACCTTGGCACCCCAGCCAGGGGAGTCATCTGCAGCTGCACCCCCACTGCAGAAAGTCATGTCCACAAGGAATTGTGTTACATGTATTGCCGATGAACTTGGATTGGCCAACTTCCTTTCTGTTTTTGACACAGTCATCATTAGACTGATGACTTAGTCCTCACAGAATTGAGCATTGCATGACATTCGGCCTAGATTAGGTACATATCGAACATATTCCAAAAAAATTGCCTCCTGCATTGGCATCTTGAAGAGAAGCAGGTCTTTTGTTCCTTGTGGGTCCTTTTGAAACGCTCCTATCCATCTATAATGCTATAGTTCAACCTCATTTCGATTACTGTAGCGTCGTATGGGGGAATTGCAATAAATCTCTTTCCATTAAACTACAAAAACTACAGAATCGCTTTGCGCATATTTTGACCTCTTCATACGATGCCAATGCGGATAATCTCTTTGTTACTCTTGGCTGGCAAAAACATAATCTTCAACGAGAATTAAAAACAGCCACTATGGTCTATAAATCTCTTAATGGTCTCGCCCCTGATTAT